GTTGTTTACTATCATGTGAAGGAATCAAAGTTGGATCCCAGAGCTAAGAAGTCGCTGTTCATGGGGATTACACCAGGGGTGAAAGGATATCGTCTTTGGTGTCTTGAATCAAAGAAGATCATTGTTAGTAGGGATGTCACATTTGATGAGCTAACCATGCTGAAGAAGCAAGTTGGTAGTGCTCAGCAGCAGGTGGAGAGTAGTCCACAGGAGGTGGAGTTTGAGACTGCGAAGTTTGTTCCAGCGAACGGAGAACCTCCTATGGGAAAGGAGGATGTTGAAAATTCTGAAGACGATGAGGTTTCCATCCAAGAGCCTCAGAAGGAACTTCCCATTGCACTTCGAAAGCCGACGAGAACGTTGAAAATGCCTGCTCGATATGCTGCGGTGGCTTTTGCACTTCCGGTGATTGATGCTGATATTCCTATCACTTACAAGGATGTAGTCAAGAGTTCTGAAAGTGAGAAGTGGAAGAAAGCTATGGAGGAAGAGATGGAATCTCTCCGGAAGAACTATACGTGGAAGCTGGCGAAGTTACCAAGTGGAAAGAAGGCGATTGGGTGCAAATGGGTATTTGCAAAGAAAGAAGGATTTCCTAAAAAGACTGATGTCCGCTACAAGGCAAGATTGGTAGCAAAAGGCTACGCTCAGAAGGAGGGTATCGACTACAATGAAGTATTTTCTCCAGTTGTGAAACATACCTCCATTCGGATTTTGTTGGCCTTGGTAGCTCAGTTTGATTTGGAGCTAGCTCAACTCGATGTGAAGACGGCGTTCTTACATGGAGATTTGGAGGAGGAAATCTATATGACTCAGCCAGAAGGTTTTACCGTTGCTGGTAAAGAAGATTGGGTTTGCAAATTAAACAAGTCGTTGTACGGATTGAAGCAATCTCCCAGACAGTGGTACAAACGATTTGACAAGTTCATGATCGGGCAAGGGTACACAAGAAGCAAGTATGATCATTGTGTCTACTTCTACAAGTTACCAGATGGATCTTTCATCTACTTACTCTTATATGTGGATGATATGTTGATCGCATCAAAGAGTCAGTCAAAGATCGAGAAGTTGAAGGCTCAGTTGAATCAAGAGTTTGAGATGAAGGATCTTGGAGAAGCAAAGAAGATTCTTGGGATGGAGATAAGCAGAGACAGAAAGATGGGCAAGCTCTGGTTGTCGCAGAGGCAATATTTGAAGAAAGTACTTCAACGTTTTGGCTTAGATAAAAAGTCAAAACCTGTTAGTACACCACTTGCTCCTCATTTCAAGCTCAGTTCGGCGTTATCTCCTACCACTGATGAGGAACATGAGTACATGACGAAGGTTCCATATGCAAATGCGGTTGGTAGCTTAATGTATGCGATGGTGTGTACCAGACCCGACATTTCACATGCCGTTGGAGTAGTAAGCAGGTATATGCACAATCCTGGAAAAGGACATTGGCAGGCAGTGAAATGGATTCTGAGGTATATTCTGAAGACCTTGGACCAGCAGGATGGATCAGTTGGTCATTGTGTGGTTGGATATGTGGATTCTGACTACGCTGGTGATTTGGATAAGCGACGGTCAACGACTGGATATGTGTTTACACTGGCAAAAGCTCCGGTGAATTGGAAGTCTACCTTACAGTCTACGGTGGCTTTGTCTACGACAGAGGCAGAGTATATGGCAGTTGGAGAGGCTGTGAAAGAAGCTATTTGGTTGCGTGGTTTGCTTGGTGAGCTTGGAGTTGAACAGAAGAATATTTCTGTATACTGCGATAGTCAGAGTGCTATCCATTTGGCCAAGAATCAAGTCTACCACGCACGGACGAAGCACATAGATATTCGTTTTCACTTTGTGCGGGAGATTATCGAAGAAGGTATCATACGACTCATGAAGGTGAAGACTCTTGATAATCCCGCAGACATGCTGACCAAGGTGATTACATCGATCAAGTTCAATCATTGTTTGAACTTGGTCAACATCCTGCGCTTTTGACTGCCTTCGGGCATTTGAGTGCCATGAGGCACAGTTGGAGACATCGTTTCTCAATTGGTTTTGCAGATGTATCATTGGAGCCAAGGTGGAGATTGTAAATTATGTGGCTCCAATTATAAGTGGCGGACAAGATGATATGCATGTTAGGTATTGGTTGCTTGGTGGAATATTGGTTACCACACGAAGTGGAGATGTTAGGTGTGAATCTCTCCGAGCCACATATTCAAATTGGCTCTTTCCTCCAAGCTTCACTATAAATACCCATGCAGTGAGGTTGTTCAGATCATCAACGAGAAGCAAACACAAGAAGAAGAATAAGAGGAGTTGAAGAAGTTTCTTCTTCAACAAGAAATCCATTTTTGGGTCTTTTTGAGAGTTTCTTTGGGTTTCTCTTTTGGGTATCCAAGATATTTGTTTCGGTGAGAGTCTTGGATACGGTTTGAATATATTTTTCTTCTGAGTGTTACGAGAGAAAGGGTGTTCTTGGCGTCATTGGGAAGTGAGGTTGAGTGTGTCTTGTTTTCCAAATTTGTTCACCGATATAGTGGGATTTGTTTTTCTTCCTCGCCGTGGACGTAGGCATTCTGTCGAACCACGTTAAATCCTGGTGTCTTTAATTTTCTCTCGTTTGATTCCATCGTCTCGTATTTGAGACCCGGTACGCTTCCGCACAACAATAACAAACCAAAAACATACCGTCGACGATGCTAAAAACGCACCCACAATCGAAGAAACAGAAATAGCGAGAAAACGTCTTAAATTTCGAAATAATCTTGAGATGATTCTTACCAGAGGACAAGTCCGTGACAGTGAGCTTCTGTCGAGACGGAATCGAACGGATTTGGAGGTGGAATCTGCTGATGCTAGGGTGAGTTAGCATAATGTTGCAGTCCGGATGCCGATCGACGACCAGAATCTCCTCCACTACGTGATCATCATCGCCATTTCCGGTTCCATCCGGAGAGAGGTAATCGGGACTGTTGACGACGAAGATGTTCTTGAGAACGGCACCGGTTTTAGCACGATGAACACAGGGATCTTCCTCTCTCCTCCTTGGTCCATCGCTTGCTCTTCTTTCACCTCCATGGGAGAAGAGCAAGAGAGCGATTCCTTCTTCAGTTCGGGAATTGAAATGAAGCGCAGAGAAAGCGAAAAAAAGAAAAGAAAAAAAGGGTATAATAGTCCTTTTCAAACCTTCGTCTTCATCCTTTTTTTTCAAGGGGAAGATTTGATTTGAAAAATGGACCGTTAAAGATTGTAGAATCACTGACATCTCGAGAATGTCCTCCTCATTTCCTCCTTATTACAATATTGCCCCTCGATTTCTGGATTCGGCCCATTGAACCGTAATTTCCGGCCCTTTTTATAAAGACAAACCGACCTCTTAATATAAATATTTTAAGTAGAACTATTAATTTTAAATTTAAATATACAAAGAAATATTTATGAATTATGGGCATCGAATAATTTTTAGGAAAAGACGAGAGATACTTAAACGCAACTTTGCATAATAACCTCCTGTTTTTAGGCCTGAACTAACATATGACAATCGCAACAGATCGTAATCGAATCGCAAACGCTAATCCTTAAACGCGGCTGCTGATATTAGCGTCTCGGAAGAGATTATTTCCTTGACCAAAACAATCAAACACTTTCATCTCATAATTGATGTCAATATGAATCGAGATTGAATCACCTTAGTAACTTGGGGACAGATCTTCGTTTCTTGCGGAAGACGTAATTCAGAACAAACCCTAGCATCGGGAAACTTGCAACGACGGCAATGTAACCGAGCAACCACGTCGATCGTCTGCTCCTCCATCGACTGACCTCTTTGAATCTTCTACTTGCGGAACATTTGGTATGTAAGAACGGGACATCCTCAGGCTTGGGCTCGGAACTGTGTTTTGTCTCTAACTGCAATGTTTCAGCGTCTTGGTCGTAGGTGACCGCAGCTACCATCCCGTCTTCCGCCACATTTAGGTACGGGCCTTGATTAATGGAAGGTTCCCGAGGCGAAGCTACTTCCGTCCCTTTGGCCTGCAGAAAAAAAACTATTTTTTATCTGTCTCTCCTCTTCAAACCACTGTCTCGTCCTCTACTGTTTCTCGCACATCCTCCTCCAGAGATTAGAAGATAGGTTTCGTGGTTGACAAAACCAAAAGACAAAAGCCATAGAACATTCTATGCTTCAGGCACAACAAAAAACCAGCATCTGGAATTTTGGCGACGGGATGCGTAGCCCCATTCTTGGCCAGACGAGTTACCCAATCGTTTCCCAGGAAAAGAAAAATACATAGAAAACTGGCGTAGTAAGTTGTTCGATAAGACAAAAGTTACCTTCTTCGGTAAATGCATATAACGACTACAGCTTAGGACGCCGAGAAATTCGTTGGTAGCATGAACCCACCTGCACAAAACAGATGTGGAAGGTAGAAGAAGGACATCAGCATTTCTCTACTTTGATCCAAAAATTAGCAAGAATCTGAAAGATACCACAAGCTAGGGGCAGTGAATCCTTGGAAGAAAGCTAGATGCCCTCCATGCTTTGTCGTAGCCAAGACAACGTTTTTGTTTGCCCTGTTCAGAGACAAAACTCAAATTTAAGATCTTCGCATCAGGATACAAAAGATTAAAGCGAATCACTTGGATGTTAATATCGCCCACCGGCATTCGTCCCAGGGAATGGCTTCCTTTGTGCATAATGGATCATCCAGAGCACTTATACAGAGAAGAGGCACTGACACATTTCTCACATATTGGGCACTGCTGGATCGCCGGTAAAATGTATCCACTGTCTGTATAAAGCATCAGCTTTCGATGTTAAAACCAATTTCTACTAGGGAAATGAGCATCAGAAGTTAATATGTACCAAGGACCAGAGGTTAGTATAATACAATGAAGCCCATTAGTACCTCAAAATTTCCAATATGGATGGTAGCATGGTGATCAAAATCTCGGATGGAACGTGACTTAGAATGCAAAAGGTTAGAAGCAGCGTCAGCCAGAGCAACAAGTGAGATATTGAAAAGACGGATTTTCTAATTAGTAGCTCGAGAAACTACATGGTTTAGAGGATGTAAAGGAGAACAAACCTTTTTTATGCCTTCCCAGTTAGCTAGCCGAGAGATTTGAGGTTCATGCCTGCAGTAAAACTAAAGTTATGACCAAGAGCCAATTGCATTCATTGTGAAATCTCGGAAACATCTCCCAAGCCTGCTGCAGAAACTCAAAAGCTAGGGAGTATTTGGCCAAAATGGTGTAGATACATACAGTTGCGCATAACCTTGGAGCCCGATGGTTAGAGCTCTACCGTACAACTTTTGTACCAGCCCGCGGCAAATAAATCTGTCACTTATCTGTAGGTTGGAAAACATTCAAAAAAAGGCATAGTGCATCGAACACCAGCAATTTGTATCAAATCGCTACACTTTACAAGTTGTAAACTCTACAGGGGTTGAATCGGAGCCCATCTAAAGGATTGACTCAGAAATACAACTAGAAGACATAAAACAAATAACGCACCAATAGGTCCCAAGGAGAGCAAATAGCCACAGCGCCAGCTACAGGAGTCTTCTCACCCTCCTCTCCAAGGTATTTGACCTGTAATAGGAGATTGGATCATGTTTTTGTCTATGCAATGACCCTACAATCTCCTGATGCATGTCTGTGGGATTAAAAATCTAAACAGACAAAGCATATTTCTGCCAGCCAACTTAGAACCCAGAACTCCTATATTACATAGCCTATTGTGCACCCACTTAAAGAAATAGTGAAGAGAATGACATAGCTGCTCCATTATGTCAAACAGGAAAGGCAAACAAAGCTCAAAACGCTGAAATGATAGAGAACTTACCAGAATATTGGCTCCAACACTAGTTCCAATGGTAAAAAGAGGAGCCATCGGATATTCATGATGGAGATAATCGACGATAACCCGTATGTCCTCCGTCCATCCAGCATTGTAGAAGATATCAGACTGCATGCGTTGGCATGTAAAGAAAATTCGAGAAGATAATGGTCCCAAATCATAGCGAGATTTTTCGGCCAGAAAATAAACAGAAGATCAAGGCAGCTTATGGGAACACTGGAACAGAAGAAGAACTCACAGTAACAGAGACACCACCCAATCCTCGATGGTTGCTAACAACAACATTCCAACCAGCCTTGGCCACGCTGTAGGCTAGGTGCTTTAGATACTGCAAATCATCGGCACCCATCAAATAAACATAAAACTTTACGAGTAATCTATTCTGATATAGAATACAGCACAAGCTCTAGATACATCATAAGGTAACCAGAGTGTAAGAGAATAGACACTAGAATTACAGCAGCTGACGAATCGCTGGATAACCCTGGTACTACGACAGCAATAGGTGTCGTATCATCTTTTCTGATTTCATTATGCTTGCGAGGAGCATCATCCACAACTGCAGAAAGGATGAAAATACCAATTAATGGACCATAAACGGAAAGGCAGATCAAACTCAGAGAGGAATCCAGATAACGTGTAGATTCTACATCTTAGTCACGAAATCTACCATCAGAGCTCGTCAGCCAATCCAAAGCAATTGTTCCTCCATCAGAAGTTCGAAAGATTTGCCTGGTAGAGGCATATGAACAAACACTATTAGTCACTTTTGCCCAATAAATTGCACATTATAATATCAAACCACTGTGCTCAGAAATCTTATCAAGAAACTTCTGCAGCAGACACATCACTAGAGGCCATGAGAAAGTAACCACAACATGTCCGAATCCCGCTGGAAATGCAAAATGATTAAAACCAATCACCTCCTGTAGTTGAAAACCGGAGGCCTTCCGAAGAAATTGAGGAAACAGGTCTGAATATGAGGACTTGACAGCCATGGCGTCGTCGCATACCTAAGATCACACAAGAAATCTAACACTTAGAGAAAACCCAGAAATCGAATCCGATGAATTAAGTAATACAACTTCGAAACCAAAGATCTCCGAAGTGCCGTTCTCACCGGCCGAGAAGAATTCTGCACCGAGCGACGACGCCGTTGTAGACAGGGGAATCGGGATTGTACGTGAGATTCACGCGACCGCTGAAGCGTCCGAGAATCAAGTCCTCGAATAAATGAAACTCGAGGAAATTGTAGAGGAAGACGAACCAGACAAGGAGGAGAGCGAAGACATAGTGATGAACGGGGATGAGAGAGAGAGCTTGAACGAGAAGCTCGTACGGAGAGAGAGGTGGAGAATCCGACAATGGCTGATTATCCATCGTTCGGATGCCGACAAATGATCCGCAGAATTTCACCGGAGAGTGTGGAACAGAAGACGGTCCGCCTGCTCTGATTTCGACCAAAAAAAAAGTCTTCATCAGCCATCGAATTACCGTAATTAATAAAGAATTTACATTAGAAAAAATTACCGCTTAGGATTCTGGTCCCTCTTTCTTCTCTACCAAGTTACAGTTCATCCGACCGTCCTAGGTTTTACTCCATTGCCACAACAGCGAGTGCTCGTTAATTTTTTTTTAAAAAAAAAACACTGTATCCGAGTTCCCAGAACAATGGCAAGTGATCAAATCTACTGGGAAAATCACGAGAAAATGGACAAGATGATTCGAAACTGGATTTCTGACGATACAAACAAAAATCCGACACTAAACCGGGAATGCAACAGAAAACGAAAACGAGAACATTGATACTTTCTCCTCTTTATTACGATATCGCCCCTTAATTTCAGCATTTTTAAACTTTACTGCCCGTTCGGATAAGACAATGCGCGGTCGCGTTTCGAACCGTGAATCGCGACGCACAAAACCGGGAACGCAACTTGAATCCCAAATAAAATAAAAAATGAAAAAGAAAACTTGACAATTTGGTATGCCAGACGCTATTACATACACATTAACAAATGTAAAATCACAACATATAAAATTACGACCACAACACGATCGTTCCTTACCCAAAGAAATACTATATATATATATATGTACGTATATGCATATATAAGGTAATGTCTTCAATAACTAGCGTTTGTACGGAGAAACCTGTACCATTTGAATCGCAATGGCCTTGTAGTTGTTATTACTTGGTGGCAGATCTTCGTTTCTTGCCGAACACGTAACTCAGAGCGAGCCCTAGTAACGGGAAACCAGTGACCAGAGCCATGCACCCAATCGGCCACCTAGATCGTCCTCCCAATCTAGCCAGTTCGTTGAAGAACAGAACAACCTCAGGCTTCCGTCTGGATTCGGACAAGTGATTTGCTTCCATCTGTTCCGTATCATCGTCTTGCTCGTAGGTCACTGCAGCGACCAGTCCGTCTTCTGCGACATTTACGTACGGACCTTGGTTAATGGAGGGTTCCTGTGTCGATTGTACGGCCGTCTCTTGAATCTGCAAACAATCGTAAACCGCCTTTTATGATCAATTTTTTTTCTCCGCTGCTTCTCCCTCTTTCTAGCTCAAGATGAAACCAAGGGTTGTGATCCACAATGCCAATAGACATAACCGCGGAGACGGTCTAGATGCTGGTTTTATTTGTGTCAGGCATAACCAAAACCGGCATCTGGATCTTACAGACAAGGAGGAAACAGAGTATTTTGCACAGAAACCGTATTATCTATTTGCCATGAATTGAGAGGAAACAAGATCTGACCTTCTTCGGCGCATGCATATAACGACTACGGCTTAGTACACTAAGAAACTCATTGGCAGCCCTAACCCACCTGCACAACACAAGTGCAGAAACATAACGTGCCCATCAGCATCAGCACCATATTTTGTTTCACGGCCACAAATTAAATAGATCGAGCATGAGCAATAATCTGAAAGATACCACAAGCCGGAGCCCGTGAATCCTTCAAAGAAAGCGAGGTGCCCTCCATGCTTTGTTGTAGCCAAGACAACATTTTCATTTGCCCTGTTCAAAAGGAAACTCAAAGCTTGAAGATCTTCAAATCAGGATTGAAGCAATCGCTTGGATGTCAATATTGCCTACCGGCATTCGTCCCAGGGAATAGCTTCCCTCGTGCATAATGGATCATCCAGAGCACTTATACAGAGAAGCGGAATTGACACACTGCTCACATATTGGGCGCTGCTAGACCGCCGGTAATACGTATCCACTGTCTGCAATAAAGCACAACGTGAAGTTTTTTTTTTGGGTAACCGGGTTTCCTGGACCGAGACCCAGACTAATCCTGGGGTCGGGAGTCAGCCATGTGATTTGAATTATGCATTTCCTCCCTAGCCTGAGGTTCGAACTCGGGGCGGGATAGACGCTTTGCGCTCCCGTTTCACCGGTTGAACTACCCAGGTTGGGTAGCACAACGTGAAGTTAAACCCAATATTAAGATGAAAATGAACAATCAGAAATGTTAATACGTACCCAAGGACTGTGTTAAGGATCTAGCAATGGCACAACTGGTTCTCACAGGAAAATGAGCATGAGAAGGTAAAATGATATGAAGGAAGAGTATGATACCTCGAATTTCCCAACATGGCAGGTTGCATGGTAGTCAAAATCCCGGATTGAACGTGACTTACAAAGCAAAAGTTTACTCAGAGGGTTAGCCGAAGAAACAAGCAAGACGCTTAAGAGATATATTTTTCATTATTAACTCATGAACTCCAGTCTCGGGGCTCGGATATTCTTCTTCGTATCGTTTAGAGAACTACAAGAACACCAACCTTTTTTATGCCATCCCAGTTAGCAAGCCGTGAATATTGAGGTTCATGTCTGCAGTGAAACTAAAGTTCTGAGCAAAAGCTGATAGACACACTGTGAAATATCAGAAACATCTCTCAATCCCATTTTACAGACAAAGGAGTTCTTGACCGAAAAAGTGGGCATACATACAATTGGGCGTAACCTTGGAGTCCAATAGCGAGAGCTCTATCATAGAGCTTTTGTATCAGCTTCCGGCATATGAATCTGTCACCTATCTGTAGGCCAAAAAAATAGAAGGGGAAGAGGGCGTACTGCATCAAACACTAACAAACACTGTACACGAATTGGATCAAGGACTACCTAAGAGAATGTCCTAAGAACTTCAAAGAAGTTTAATGTCTCAATTTAGATGATAAAGAAAGCCAAGAAAAAGTTATGAGCAAAATGAGAAGAATACAGTTGTGTAGTAAAAGAAATGAAAGCTCACCAAGAGATCCCAAGGAGAGCAAATAGCGACAGCACCGGCTATAGGAGTCCTCTCACCCTCCTCCCCAAGGTATTTGACCTGGAATAGAATCAAGCTGTTGTATATGATATGGACCTACAACTTCTTGATGGAAATCAATTGTACAAAAACCCAAATAAGCAAGCTGGTCTTTTCCGGGGAAAATTGAGGGGAATGATTAGAAAAGGAAAACAAATCATGACTCTATGTAAGATATCCAAGTTGAACATATTGCCCAATTACATCAAACTGGAAATGCAAAGCAATGAATTCGTGAAGACTAAACATACCAGAATATTTGCACCAATGCTGGTTCCAACTGCAAACAGAGGAGCCATCGGATATTCGTGATGGAGATAATCGACAACTACCCGTATATCTTCTGTCCATCCAGCGTTGTAGAAGCAATCAGACTGCATGTTGTGGCCAATAATGGAAATCACAAAAACAAAAATGGTCAGTAAATGAGTTTGAGGTTTTACAGGACAAAAACAGATTAAGCTGACAGCTTATGGGAACACCAGAGACAGAAGAAGAAACTCACAGTTACTGAGACACCACCCAGTCCTCGGTGGTTGCTAACAACAACATTCCAACCAGCCTTTGCTGTGCTGTAGGCAAGGTGTTTTAGATACTGCAAATCATCAACAACCACCATACAGTTGTTTAACCTAGCAAGTAGTATGTTCTAATATACCATCACATGAACATGTCAGAGATCCGCAATAGAAGAGAGACTGAGCTTACGGCAGATGAGGAATCGCTCGTCAAACCAGGAACCACGACAGCAATAGCTGTTGTATCATCCTGTCTGATTTCGTTATGCTTATGAACAGAACCATCCACAACTACACAAAGGATTAGAATAACAATCAATGAACAAAAAGAGAAAGGTACACCAAACTCGGAGAGGAATCCAAATTGCATATGCATTTCTACATCTTAATCACCACATTTACCATCAGAGCTCATCAGCCAATCCAATGCAATTGTTCCTCCGTCAGAAGCACGAAATATCTGTCTGATATAGTACCCGTATAAACACTATCAGTCACTTTTTTACGGATAAATCAAACATTCTACCACCGTACTCAGAAATTGTATCGAAAACTTCATCAGTAAACACAGAACTTCAGACCACGAAGAAGTAATCAAACATGTGTCTCAATTCTGCGGACAACGTGAAGTTATCGAAAGCGATCACCTCCTGTAGTTGAAAACCGGAGGCATTCCGAAGAAATTGAGGAAACATGTCTGAATATGAGGACTCGAGAGCCATGGCGTCGCCGCATACCTAAGCACATGAGGAATCGAACAGGTACAAAAAGACCCAGAAATCAAACACTCCGAAAACGTAAATACAAATCCCAAACCAAACATCATCAAATTTTCGCCCTCACCGGCCGTGAAGGATTTTGCACCGGGAGACGACGCCATTGTAAACAGGGGAATCGGGACTGCACGTCAGATTCACGCGGCCGGTGAAGTGCCCCAGAATCAAATCCTCGAAGAAATGGAACTCCAGGAAGTAGTATAGGAGGACGATCCAGGCCACGAGGACTGCGAAGACGTAATGACGAACGGGGAGGAGGGAGAGAGCTTGGACGAGAAGCTCGTAGGGGGAGAGAGGGGAAGAAGACAAGGGCTGATTCTCCATCGGGCTTCGATACGGCGGTCGGAATCAGGCAGGGGACCGTTAATTTCGCCGGAGAAAAAACGTTTTGGTTTCTGGTTAGGCGAGCGGTAGGAGAAGCCCGAACGACAAAAACTCGTGGCGGGTGGAGAATTTATTATATATATAATTAAACAAGTAAAGAAACAATAAATTCGATTTAAATATTTGAGCAATTTTATTCAATAAATTTTGGCTTTTGTTTGATTACAACGTTTTTTGGACAATGATTAGTCTAACGAGATGGTCTGTTTTTTATTTCATGCACTAAAACTTATAAGACATCATTGTATTATATGTGATGTTTGCTTATATATAAACGGATAATCAAATCAAATATTAAATCATTATATATAAATTATTTTCATCTAAATTGGTTGTAATTTTTTATTCTAATTATAATGAAAAATAAAGGAAAAAATGTTAGGTTGCGTTCAATGATAAGTCACACTAAACTGAACAATTAATAGGTTGGGACCTCTACTCTTTATCATATACTCCCTCTTTTCAAAATATTTGTAGCCACATTTTAAATGCGAAATTAATTAATATCTTTTAATTACAAAAAAACATATGTACAAACAAATGGTATCTTTATTTCGTGACATTGACTAGTAACTAAAAGCTAGTAACATCGATCTTCTTGTTGGGGGGTTTCACGTACGTGACAAAACTGTAAATTTTTTAAAATTAATCGGTTATATTGTTTCCATATCTATATAATTGATTGATTGTTCGTTGTTTCTTCCTTGTGTTCATATGGCCAAAAAAAATATTTCTCAATTGCATTTGTTTTCTGTCTGAGTTCATTATTATATATTTAGTGCGAATTTATATCAATGAATAATTAATTATATGTTCTGATGTTGGCAATACATTAAAAAAATGATTTTTGTGGGTTCCCAATAATGGATATCAAAGGTAAGGTTTAAATGTGTGGTTTGACTGTTGGAAAAACACATTAACTCACAATCAATGAGGAAAATGGCACTCCTTTCCGACACCTTTTACATTTGTCATCAAGAAGATACAGTTTTTTTTTTCAAACACTTTTTTCCCCCCAAAGTGGACACAAAAGAAGATACAAACAGCTTAAAGACGAAGAAGAACAAAAACCCTAAGGTTAGAAACTATTGGCTTCACAGTACTAATTAAAACCCGACGTACGCATGCAAAAGCTAATGCAAAGCGACCGCGGCGGAAGCCTTTTGAGCGGCGGATTCCGGCGGCGGGGAGGGAAGAACGGTGAGGGCCAACACTCCACTCGCGGCGGCGGCCACCGCACCCACCACGAACCCCGGCAGGTTCCCTCCTCCGAACATCTCGTCGAAAGGTCCTCCTCCCACCGACACCACCATCTGCATGCCCCATATATATATATATATACACCACATACGCACACATACATATTCATATATATGGGTATTTGCAATTATTATTTTAATACTGTTTCCCAAAACCACACCAACATGCATTAATAATTACTAATAGTTGATATTCACCTGTGGCACAACAATTGCAAGATTTAAAACTCCCAAAGAAAGTCCTGCAATTACAAAAATACATCAATGTCTATCAGATACGTAACATACAACCCTAATGCGTACGTACCGAATAAGTATACGCACATGCATGCAAAACAAATGAATATATACACACACGTAAATAGCTCAATGCATAATATAATATAATATAATATACGTTATTTACCTTGACCGGCACCAGAAGAAGAAGAAAATATGGACGCCAATGCAAATGGAATGCTGTAGGTTATCTGAAAAAACAAAAACAAAAAAAGCATTAATTTTTTTTTATATGTCATTAAATTTTGTTGTGTCCCGTAAATATATATATTTTAATTATATGACCACCGAATATTAAAATGAAAAAAAAAAACGGGGGCTTGCATGTTGCATGGTTAATTTCGTACAGCAAGAGGAACATCAGAGAGAGCGAAGAGAGACAACGCGCCAACTTTGACACCCACTGGCGGCGGCGGCGGCGGCAGCGAACCTCTGCCTTTGGACACGGCGGTGAGGTGGCGGCCAGACTCGGCGACTTTGGTGATTACCACCGTCATGCCCAAGCAGAGAGCGAGGACGAAATTCACGATCCCCCAAAGCCTGTTCACTCCTCCCACGCCACGCGCCATCCACTCGACGGCGAGTGACGTGAACCCGAGCACCACCGAGTTCAGCATCAGCCCCAACGCGCCGGCGCGTACTCCCACGTTATACACGCGCCTCTGTGATTCGTCTCCGGCGGAGTCTCCGCCGTACACCTCTCTTCCCATCCAATCCGTGTCGAAGAGGAGGAACGGGAACCAAGCAATCCAATTGAGACACGTCACCACCAAAAGCATCCGCATGGGCCTCTTCAAATCTCTAACCGCACCCAATAATTCCCCGATCAACGGAAACTTAACCGCCTTAGACGCCGTCACCTCCTCCGTTATCTCTCCCCCATCTCCATCGTCGTTTCCGTTAACCTCCGGCGACCACTGCTTCTCGTCGACGTACCAGAGAGCGATCGCTGTCAGGGTCAACAAGAGAATGATCGAAAAGTAGAAGCAGCTCTTCAGATTCGCGCAATAGACGTCACAGGCCTTCGTCGACGCGAACGGGAACGCGTCGTGGAGGCGCGTGAAGGAACCGGCGGCGAACCCGAGGACGTTTCCGACAGCCATGAAGAAGGAGAAGAAGGCGTTCGCGGTTCGCATCTTCTTCGCGCTATCGCCGGAGAGATCCGCGAGGAGAGCACGGCACGGTCCCTGGAGCATGTTGTTAGCGACGTCGAGGATCCAGAACCCGAACGCAAAGATCCCGATCGCGAGAAGGAGACAATGTATTTCGGTTTGTGAAGTTATAGCCGATGAGGATGACAGCGGTGGCGACGAGAGCAGCGCCGGCGGCTATGAAGGGACGGCGGCGGCCGAAACGCGAGACGCAGCGGTCGCTGTGGTAACCGACGATGGGCTGAACGATCATTCCTGAGATGGGCCCACAAAGCCAGATGAGTGAGGCCCATTTGTGGGGGATGCCGAGAAGCTGAACGTACGGGGTCAGGAGGGAGAGCTGTAGGGCCCACCCGAACTGGATCCCGGTCGCGATCGACGCCACCGCGATTATCTGACGCAACGGCGACTGCGTCTGGGTCTGCGTTTGCGTTTGAGCCACATCGAACGGCGTCGTGTTGGGCTTTGACTCGTCGGTCTTCATAGTTTCTCTCTCTAGAAGTGGATGAAGAGTTTGTGTTGAAGGAGAGAGAGAGAGAGGTATATATAGAGAGGAGAGAAGGATTGCATGGGGAGGCAACTGGCGGGAGGAGGAAGAAAGGCTTATCCATTTGAGTCTCGGTACGTAGTGCGGTGAGTGTACCCTTCAGTACACTCCTGTCCACGTGTCACTCCCTCATTTAATTCGCTGCATTTTCCCTCCCAAACAAAAAAAATAAAAAATACAAAGAATCTTGAACATACATTATGACATCTAGAAGATAATTAATTATAAACGTGAGTCCAGATTAGATTATACTAATTGTAATATCAGCATGCGGTTTTACCACGTATATCAGTACACAAATACATAATTATGGAGAAATCCAATGCAAAAATTAGGTGATAGCTTTACATATTATGTATTTTACTTTTTAATAAACAAATTGATATCGAATATTGATCATCAAGATGAATGTGATGTTGAATGGGAGGTGGATTTCGGAGTTTTTGGATTTCAAGAAGTGAAGAAACCGACAATCAAGTTTTTTGAAATTTGGTTTTCCTAAAAACCCGGAAATCTACTTTATGAAAAAAAAATCAACTAAAATCTAAAAGTCACCTTTCTTTAGATTTATAAACTTTCAGAATCCAAAAGCCAAAAACCAAAAACTAAAAACCAAAAACCAAAAACTAAAGCCAAAAATCCAAAATAAAAACCAATACCATTCAAAGCCATGTTTGATATAATTTCGTCTCCATGTGTATCTAAATTTTGTTGCTGTTATTAATTGTCCCAATTCAATATATTTGCAAATGTTGTACTCGTAAAAGCCTTTTATAAGGGTGATCCTACGTTTGATGTGAAGCACAATGTAATGTTAGTTATATATATTCATGTGAAAAAATTGAAGATATGAATATTATTATCATTATTATTTAGTTTTGTAATTATATATAATTAAATACAGCGAAAAAAAAATGGAAGATCTAGTTTTTTATGATAAGAGTAAAAATAAATAATGAAAATTTAGTGATTGATTTACAAATTAGAAGATACGATACGTAGAATGCTATGAGTAGAAAATTAATAAGCGGGGAGTTGTTATTATTTATGGAATGGTTATTTTCCGCCTTACATAGTTATCTGTCTTTTTTCAATTTAATTATTTTGGCATGATTGATTCTAAAAAATTAATATAATACAATAATAAAAATTTGGAAGAAAATGGGAAACTGGTTTCTGTTGCAATTTAATGAGGGCTCGTGGGGGGGGAGTAATTGCAATTGCCATATCTTATCCATTGGTTTTTTTTTAATATATAAGATATCTTATCCATTGTATAGGTTCTGTGTTTAAGGATATCCCCACGCTTGATGATTGGTTGAATTTTGTCTAATTACGAGGGTTTAATCATATGTTTCAGATTATGTTGCATGAAGAAGTATGGTATTTAAAAAAAAACATATGGCTTTTAAAAAAAAACAAATGCATAGTATTAGAGAGGTGCGTGCGATGATGCATGAAAAAGTAAGATATATATTTTGAATTTAAATTATGTTGTCTTTTGTTTTTTGTTTTTAAATTCAATTTTTATAAAAAAAAACATATATCTATTTAGTTATTATATATATATATATATATTTTAGATTGGTTAAGTTTTATATATTTATTATATTTTATTAAAAAATTATTTTTGAATAACATTTTCAGCTATTTTTTATATGCATTTAAATTTGGTTAAATCAGTTGGTTACGTTTTATATATTGATCCAATTTTTTTCTCTAAAGTCAATAATATCTTATTTTTTTTAATTTGTATATAAGAAAAACATAAAAAAGATTTTGTAAAAAGTGTAATATTTATTGAAAACTAAAACCTAAATGATAGCATCGAGGAAGTTAAAAAAACCTAAATTAAAAAAAAAAAGGATTATACTTTTAGAGCGATCACTAACTCGACACATTCCACATTTGGGTAAATCATTTGATTATCAAATTGAATTTTTTTAAGTCAAGAAATATATATAATAAAGTAAAAAAAAAAAGATTAAATAAGGTGGGGACATTATCCAGTGAGAAATTGCGCAGCCCGAAGAGGAAGATGCAGAAGCCATTAAAAAAGTGGATGAGAAAGTTTCAATCCATCTTTGACTTTCTCTGACACAAACCCAAAATCTATTCACACGTCAAAAATTAAAATACCTATTAATAAAATAAATATCAAAACATGAAATGATTATATATTCATAAAAAAAAATTGTTACAAAGCTTGTTTTTTTATTTTTTTAAAAAAGAAAATATAAGATGTTGATAGCAAGAGTCCTTTCGTTTGCAGATAACCTATAAATTTCGTCTGTTATATATTTTGCACGTATTTTTATCATTTTTTTTCAGATGAGATATAAATAAGTTAAGGTATTAATTGTGATAAAACAGTGACATTGAAACTGATGTAAATGAATTAAATATTAATTCGTCGTTTATTAAATAAATTCACCGTCATCGCCTACTGTACTATTCGTGACCACAGATCCCCCAAGCCCACCCACACGCCTCAAGCGTGACGTCATGTGCCTCTCCCTCGTCCAGAGGGTCTTCAGCAGACGAGTGTTTCTTAAATTTTTTTTTGTCCAACATATGACTAAAAGTTGACTAGTAAATGGGCTTTCGGCCCAATTATCACACTGAACAAAAAAACAGACTAGATGGGCCTTTGGCCCAATGAACATGCTTTAGGTCGTTTCCTTTCAGTGGAATCAGTTCACTCACTGGTTGTTGCATAAAAATTATATCCTATTTTCTATCCATGTTTTTAGTTGAAATTTTATTTTTAATAAAAATAATATTATTTTTAAAATATTTTAATTTTAAAATTATTTTTTGTATACAAATTCGAATTCCATTAAACTTAAAAAAGTAACAACTAATCGTTTTTAAAACTATATTTGATTTTCGTATAATAGTATATTATGTTATCCCGTTTGATTCAATTTTATATGTTAGTCAATGTTAACTATTTTTTTGTCATCAAACTGGAAAATAATTCAACCCTTAAGAAAAGTAGTTGGTAGAATTGGTAAATAAATTATTCAAAGTTTCGATGTTAACATTCAAAAATTACATTATTCAAGCGAGTTTGGGCGAGTGGTTGGCGTGTTGGCCAATACGTCTTCACGTCGGCTGTTCGATTCCTGAGTGTGGAGGAGGAATTCATATGAACTATCCCGATTTTTTGGGAGATGTAGTTGGACCGAAGGTAGTTAAACTTTAAGAGAAAAATTGTATTTGTAAATTTGAATCGAAAGATGAGACAAGAGGGACTGCCACTAAAATGACGTGAGGCGGGTCTCCCACGTCATGCGATGTTTTCTTATCGATAAGTAATTAGTAATTACTGTATAGTTTTTTTTGGTAAATGGTATAATTACTGTATAGTTTTTCCTTTCCAAAGCCGCATTTTTTTTAATTATAATCTATATATATGGTATTAGAAATATTATGTATAAGCCAGAGTTGGTGGCTTGGTTGCTGTGAAAACATAAAGTAGTGTCCACACGAATTCTAGCAATCATATATTATAAAAAAAAAACATTATATATAATATAATATCTGGTTTACATGTTTTTTCGCGTGTCGTTGTTTTGATTATATGATTTTAATTGTTGTTTTGAAAAAAATATTTTATTTAATTTTAAATTTTAATATCTATTTTAAACTCAATTCCAATTAAAATAATTTATTTTTCAAAATTACATTTAATCATATTTTAAAAATCATCATGTATTATTTTAATAGCTTTTACATATATAAGTTATTTCTATGCTTATAGTCATAAAAATATTATGGAAAAAAATGTAATTGTCAATCAAGCATAGTTTAATTAAACTTCAAATCAAACCATAAAAAGAATCCTTTGAAAATGTATGAAGTATGGCATGGTATACCTAAAAGGTTTGGACTTTTCTAAAGTTTGTGTGTGTATATATATATAGTCATATTTTGTAATATTTGCTTTATGTCGTATCAATAATCTATCTTTATTCAAAAAGGGCAATAATTTTGTCAAAAAACTTCCGTACGCGCCCTCCGTTGGCATTCGTCTTGCTCACAAAAAAAAAAAAAATCAGTGAGGAGTAGGGCAGAGCAACAATGGCGCTTCTTCTTGTTCTTCACATTCTTCTTATACATCTCGATTTCTCTTCTTCTCTGACGATTCCACTCGGTTCCACGCTTCAAGCCTCAAATCTCAACCACTCATGGTCTTCTCCCAACTCCGATTTCTCCGTTTCCTTCGTTCCCGCCGTTTCACCTGGGTCTTTCCTCGCCTCCGTCACGTTTTCCGGAGGGATTACTATTTGGTCGGCCGGAGCCGTCGATTCCGGTGGATCTCTCCGCCTTCTCCGGTCTGGTTCCCTCCGCCTCATCGATGGCTCCGGCGCCACCGTATGGGACTCCGGCACGGAGAGCCTCGGTGTTGCCTCCGCCTCTCTGGATGACTCAGGCAACCTTGCACTCCTCAACGGCAGGAACATGACTGTCTGGTCGTCGTTCGACCACCCGACTGACACGATTGTCCAGTCGCAGAATTTCACGGTCGGTAAGGTTCTCCGATCTGGTTCTTACTCATTTCAGCTTCTGCAAACTGGGAATCTCACTCTCAAGTGGAACAATAGTGTAATTTACTGGAACCAGGGGCTTAATTCTTCATTTGATTCAAATCTTTCGTCTCCGAGTTTCGTTTTGCAAAGCAATGGAGTGGCGTCGGTCTTCGATTCCACATTGTCAACCGCCGCAATTGCGGTTTACAGCAGCGATTACGGAGAAGGAGACAATGTATTTCGGTTTGTGAAGTTAGACGATGATGGAAACTTGAGAATCTATGCTTCCACAAGAGGCGGTCAAACGAAAACGCCACGATGGGCTGCTGTTATGGATCAGTGTCAAGTGTTTGGTTACTGCGGAAACTATGGGATTTGTACTTACAATGATTTAGGCACAATTTGCGAGTGTCCATCTGAGAACTTTGTTCCTCTTGAAGTGAACGATATGAGAAAAGGCTGCAGAAGGAAAGTGGAGCTCGAGGATTGCCGTGGAAATGAAGCCATGCTTGATTTGATGAACACTAGGTTCTTGACATATCCACCCGAAGTATCTTCCCAGCGTTTTACCCTTGGCGTATCGGCTTGTAAGTTCAACTGTCTTGCTGGGAGTTTCTGCGTTGCTTCTGTTCCAATGTCTGATGGATCTGGTTATTGTTTCCTTAAACCACCTGGTTTTGTTAGTGGCTACAAGAATCCTTCACTTCCCAGCACCTCTTCTATCAAGGTATGTAAACCGGGTATGCCCAATCCTTCTCTAGCAACAGCTAAGAAAAGTGACAAACGGCAAAAGCTTCATGTGTGGATCATTGTGGTTGTTGTCATAGCTACGCTTCTTGGTTTACTCGTGTTAGAGGGGTCTTTGTGGTGGTGCTGCTGCAGAGATTGCAACCAGTTTGGAACGTTGTCTGAACAGAATTCTTTTCTCGAGTATGCTTCTGGGGCTCCCGCGCAGTTCTCATACAGAGAGCTTCAGCGCTGCACCAAACAGTTCAAGGAGAAGCTCGGGGCCGGAGGTTTTGGCACTGTGTACAGAGGCATGCTCACGAACAGAACTGTTGTTGCTGTGAAGCGGCTGGAAGGGATAGAGCAAGGAGAGAAGCAGTTCAGGATGGAAGTTGCCACCATAAGCAGCACACACCATCTGAATTTGGTCAGACTGATCGGTTTCTGCTCTGAGGGACGCCACAGGCTTCTTGTCTACGAGTTTATGAAAAACGGATCACTCGATAACTTCCTTTTCTCTGCAGATTCAGGAAAGCTGTTGAATTGGGAATCCCGTTTCAACATGGCCCTTGGAACGGCAAAGGGAATCGTTTACCTCCATGAGGAATGCCGGGATTGTGTCGTCCATTGCGATATTAAGCCCGAGAACATTCTCTTGGATGAAAACTACGCTCCCAAAGTCTCGGATTTCGGGCTTGCCAAACTCCTCAACCACAAAGAAAACAGAAACAGAAACCTGAGCAGTGTCAGAGGAACTCGAGGGTACCTAGCACCAGAATGGCTCGCAAATCTTCCCATAACCTCGAGATCTGACGTCTACAGCTATGGTATGGTTCTTCTGGAAATAGTCAGCGGGAGGCGGAACTTCGACATCTCAGAGGAAACCAATCTCAAGAAATTCTCAATCTGGGCTTACGAGGAATTCGTGAAGGGCAACACTCAAGCTATCTTAGACAAACGTCTCGAGACAGATGGAACGGTGGTTATGGAACAAGTGACGAGGATGGTTCGGATCAGTTTCTGGTGCATACAAGAGCAGCCATCTCAGAGACCGTCAATGGGGAAAGTGGTTCGGATGCTAGAAGGAATCGCAGAGATAAGCATTCCACCAACTCCAAAGGCCTTAGCCGAAGTGTCGGTTTCAGGGCAGAACAAGAACTCGAGTTGCTATATCAGCAGTTCGATGGTGTCTACGTCGGCCCGGTGTCTGCCCTCATCTTCTTCCTCACTAACTGCAGAGATGTCATCGTCCGCTTCTAGAAGAAACGCGGGTGGGACTTCTTCCTTGAATGAGACCTGATGATTGCAGAATACACACCAAAATCTCGGAGCATTAGCATGTTATGGAGTTTTGCAACCTTCTGTACCGGAAGAGAAACATGGATGGACAGCTCGTCCTTCTCAGCGACGGCGTGACTCTCAAGATCAAAGCCGTGGCAGAGGTATAACAACACATTCACTACATACTCCCGTCGCATAAATATATATATTTTTGTTTGCAGAACATGGTCGGGTATAGCTGCCTGCTTTAGGGAAATGATTGATACCGGACAACTTATTTGGTTAAAATAACAAGGGCTGGCTTAGTATATAATCAAAACCTTTAGACTTATCGAGTGTACTGGATAGAGTGGAGTCGTAGAAGCAAGGAGTAGGGGGTTCTAGATCGATGTTAATGGAGAGTTTACAGACGGGAATTTCTGATGGCCAAAAACGGCAAGGAGTTCGCGGTGTTTATGAGGCCTTGGCTTTAGAGCGGCAGGGAGTGCTTTACTCAAAAAGCCAGATTGTAACACGGCAAGGAGTTTCTGTCTCGACAATCAACCTGGGATGGAGTTCACTTGAAACAACAGGGAGTTTTCCACACGGCGAGACGTTCTCAAAACCCTTAACTATAAACGGCAGGCTGTTTTCTCCTGGGTGGCTGCCTCGGATCCATCTGGAGGCTTCCTAGTAACACGGAAAATCCTTCATCCGTTGCGCTTATACAGGGGAAAAAAAACAACTGAAGTGGCAGAGATCTACGTGACGATGGCTCCCAAGGTAACAGCCATGGCGGCCACTAGACCTCTCTACTCAGTGTCTTGCTTATTCCTCTCCTTCTCTGTCATCTTCGTCCTCTCTCTCCTCTTCTTCATTTCCACTTCCATCAAATCCGGCCCGAATCCGAAGATCTTCCATGAAAACGGCATCAATGTATATGTTGCAGAACTTCCGAGATCCCTGAATTATGGTCTTCTGGAGAAGTATTGGTCATCTAATCCAGATTCTCGCATACCCAGCGACCCGGACCACCCGACCAGAAAAACCCATTTGCCCAAGTCCAAGAAGTACCCACCTTACGCGGAGAATCCGCTGATCAAGCAATATAGCGCCGAGTACTGGATTTTGGGCGACCTCGAGACTCCGATTGTGAAACGAACTGGGTCTTTTGCGAAGAGGGTTTTGAGGGAATTCGAAGCCGATGTGATTTTCGTGCCTTTCTTCGCGACGCTAAGCGCGGAGATGGAGCTGGGAAACGGGAAAGGTTCCTTCAGGAAGAAGGCCGGGAACGAGGATTACCAACGGCAGAGACAAGTGCTTGATTTTGTGAAGAACACTGAAGCGTGGAAGCGCTCCGGTGGCCGGGATCACGTTTTTGTGCTTACCGGTACTATTTCCTTTTCTCGTATTAGATTCGTTTTCTTGAGCTATTTGGTTCGTGGGTCTGGAGCACTACCCATTTATGGGCTCTTTTCCAAATCTCTTGGTTGCATTAATCAATTCGAGATTTGTGCCACGCCTTTGAAATTCCTTGCTTGTGTTGCCAGTTTCATATGGTTTCAAGCCAATTTGACAAATCTTGGTGTTATATATCGTATCGTATCATTTATCTCTATTCTAGAGTTTGTGGTCTTAGAAATCTGCCAGTTCTTTTAGTGACTAAATTCAAGTATTTCGTGTCTAGAAAGAAAAATTCTTCTGTCCATGTCTTAATATTGATTTTGGCCTGAGAATTGAAACAATTCAATGTCAGATGCTCTTGGGGTTAGTTCCCTGGGGTCTTCTTGTTCACATATAAGGGTGTCATGTGTTTTAATATAAAGCTTATGGCCAGTCACTTCATTATCAGGTCAGTTGAAAGTTGCAACATTGAAAATCTATACCCAGTTGCAATATGCCATTGCTCTTTATTACTAGATGTAACCATCTTGTGTTCCTTGTTAGATTATGATATCACGCTAAATCTGACTAGTCGTGATATCATATAGCATGCTCCTATATCTATTTAAGATCTTAGTCTTGTCTTGAGAAATCTCTCTACATCTCATACTGTTTGCTGCCTAATACTTTTGAGTTACTGAAACTTTACTTTTCTTTCCCAAGAGAAGGCCATTCTTGGTTTGGTCTTCTCCATTTTGATCTTCGCATACACACAACTGCATCGGTTGTTTCTTTCCATGCCAGCTCACTGAGATGATACATAATGTTTTCTCTTACAAAGTGAAGCGGCTGTTATCCCGAGACATGCATTATTGCTCTAGAAAGCTTATAGATAGTCTCTCCATCCATTGTCAGGTTAGTTAAATGATGAAGCGTTCTTTGGCAGACCCTGTGGCAATGTGGCACGTTCGTGATGAGATAGCACCAGCCATTCTCCTTGTGGTGGATTTCGGGGGGTGGTATAGGCAAGATTCTAAATCATCCAATGGTAGCTCCCCTGAGAGGATAGAGCACACACAAGTTTCTCTAATCAAAGATGTGATAGTTCCTTACACTCATCTCTTGCCCAGACTAGACTTGTCTGAAAACCAGAGACGCCTCAACCTTCTTTATTTCAAGGGAGCCAAGCACAGGCATCGGGTAATCACTACCACTGACTCCGTTCTTTATTTCGATTTCGAAGCTATCATCTTTATTTGTTACACATACTTCAGTAGTTTTGGATATTATTATTTTAGATTTCTAGCTTCTTTATTCAGTTCCTGTAGAAATAGAAAGTAAACTCTGAAGCTATATAGCAAAAAATAGGACATTTTGAGGATAATGGGCAGATGCACAATGTTTCATTGAAAAATCAGATTTCCTTTCACCCAGAAATAAAATAATCAGAAGAAGCCCCATGTATTGACTGATTAGGCGAACAATGGCAATTAGATTGATGGATTTATTTTAGCTCCATTCCATTCTTGGTATCTGCTTTGGGATTTTCAGTAGTAATAACTTTTTTTTCTTAATATTTCAAAACTGACAGGGTGGTTTGGTTAGAGAAAAATTATGGGACTTATTGGTCAATGAACCGAGAGTTATCATGGAAGAAGGGTTTCCCAACGCAACTGGAAGAGAACAATCAATCAAAGGAATGAGGAACTCCGAATTCTGCTTGCACCCAGCAGGAGACACCCCCACTTCTTGCAGGCTATTCGACGCCGTTCAAAGCCTATGCATCCCCGTGATTGTCAGCGACAACGTCGAGCTTCCTTTCGAAGGGATGATCGACTATTCGGAATTCTCGGTCTTCGTCTCCATAAGCGAAGCCTTAAAGCCTAAATTCCTGGTTGATCATCTCAAGAGCTTCTCCGAAAGACAGAAGGAGACGTTCCGCCGCAGAATGGCCAGCGTTCAACACATTTTCATGTACGAAAATGGCTATGCCGGAGGAATCGGACCGATACTGCCAGACGGTGCGGTGAACCATATATGGAAGAAGGTTAACCAGAAGCTTCCGATGATAAAGGAAGCAGTGACGAGGGACAAGCGAAAGCCAACAGGCGCATCTGTTCCTCTACGGTGTCAGTGTATGTGAACCTAAATCAACTAAAGTTCTTTTGTTTTTTTTTTTCAACTTCTAAAAAAATATGCTTATTTCTTGCCTTTAAAAACTTTCCTTCCACACCAATGAAAAGAGAGTATACGCACACCTATGTTTTTTTTTTTATTTTATAAACCACAAGCCCATGAAAAAAAAAATAGGTAGAGGCTTATCATTTAGTGGGCCTAATTATAGATCCAATATGCAGGCCCAAATGTTATGAAATTATATAAAGACCTACTTGAAAGAGGTCGGCTATGGTCCAAAGAGAATCACGATGATGTCATTCGGCTCTTTCAAAACCCCCAATAAGTGTGTGCCAAAATCGTGATCACCTACATTGAGGCCCACTCCGGGGTCGAAACCAAATAGGCCCATGGATATGACATATGGGGTCGACTCAAGCATCATTTTTGGTTCATAACAGTTCACGTTAATATGGCTCATTAAAGGCCCAGATCATACTGATCATGGCGTGGCGGATGGGATCGACTCAAGCATCACCTGTCCACACAGACAGACTACAATCTATATATATTAATAATTGAGTTTAAAGGATTCTGGTGAGGACACCTAAGTATCCATGTCATCAAGTTTCTCAAATTTTATTGGTCATTTGATTTGATATATTCATTTACTTCCTAAAGCCACGTCATTTCCCATCTAAATATTTTTAATAATATACATATACATTGTCCAATTAAAGTATCATTGTTTATATATAATTTATTATTGCAATTTACAACAAAATTAACCTAACATATGTAAAAGATAAAAGTAACATGTAAAAATCTGATAATCGATTGGATAACCATGGTTATTCGGTTAATAACCGAACCAAACCGAAGTCGAACAGTTATTGGACTTTCTCAAACGAACGGTTATTCAACAAATAACCGAACCGAATAGCAACAATAAAAAATTATGATTGATAATCCCAATAGTTATTTGATTATTCGGTTATTAACCGAAATGGTCATTTCTAATAGTACATACAATAAAATATTTGTAACTGGATTTTTTTTTATCATTATAGAGTATAAAATTGAAACGTATCGAAAAATTATGTGTGATATTGTTTGACATCAAACCTATATAATATAAAACATGTAGATAGACATATATTTTTACTATATATAATGAGTAATAATGATTTTACAATAATTTAATATTAGCAATATAAGTTTTCTGCATTAAAAAATTTATATTTTTTTTTTCAAAATTAATATTAATACATTTTATAAATTAAATTATAAAAAAGAATAACCCGACGCATCGCGCGGGTCTTTATCTAGTATACACAAGAAATATGCTAACGTGAGACTTCTTTCTTATATCTCGTCAACTCTTTACATTTTCTTACAAGAAAAGACTGAAAGAACAAGAGAACGACAAACACTATGTACGCCTCCCCAGGACTTGGCTAAAAAAAATGCAGAATTACGGGGGAGGTAAGAGTACTAATGATTCACATATATCCCCCCCTATTCACAATGTGTATTGAATCATAGTAAAAAAAAGAAAGAATATTCGAGGAAAAAGACTTACGAAAGAACTCTCTGTCTTCCTTCCTTTGTGGTGCATATACACCATCACTACTACTCCTCGGTGGCGGTGCATAGTTCACAAGCCGCGCGGTCTGAGGCTCGTCCTCTGTCACTGTTGTTGACGAGGCACCAATGGTCGGGGACGCACAAGAAGTGGGTGGACATGAACTTCCTGAAGCGCTTCTTGTACTCCTTGGGGCTGATAACAGTGGGCAACAAGTTCTTGGGCACCACCAGCGACGATTTCACCCACGTCTCCAGCTGCTTGTCCCACGTGTACTGCCTCACGTAATCTATTATCCCACACACCATCTCCCCTCCCTCCTCCACCCCCACCAGCAACGAGTAGTCCATCACGTTTATACTCTGTCCCATCATCATTCCCCAACATTTTTTAAGAAACATATATGATTCAAAAGAAAAAAAAGATGGAAGAGAGGGAAAAAAAAAGCCTTTTACGTTCAGGAAGCTGGTGTCGTTCCAAACCGCCCTTTGGAGGATGCGTTTCGAGCTGTTGCTGATGTATATCGGGGAACTGTTCATGTCGTTCACAAAGTTCTGATCTAACAGCACATCATCCGCACCAGTCGTCAGCCTTGCGTGTAGAGCTCCTTTCAGATCGTACTGCCTTGTTATTTTCCTACCAAAGTTTAGATTCTCCATCACCATCAAGTCGTGTCTTGTGTCTTTCCCGTTCTTCGGCTGCCTTATAGTCACCTGGTAGGAGGGTATACGTATTATCAATCGAACAAGAAACCAACGTATGAAAAGATAAATTTCTTTTTCAATTTTTTATTATAGAGAGGATTAATTACCTGATAGATACCAAGCACTTTTGCAAGACATGTCTGGTTGCCTGACTCGTAGGAGTCCTTCATGTATTTAAAGTAGCTATCAGCAAATTTCACAAAGGACTCGTATTCCGTTCTCTTGATCTCCTTGATGATGAACCTGTCGTCCAGCGTTTTAGCAAATACGGACTTGCTCTTCCCCCCCTTTGCATCCCACGGCTTACAACGGCTAAGCGACGCTATGTAATTCGATTCCGATGGACAGCAAAGCTCCCTCAGCTCACGGAACTTGTCCGCATATAAACACACGACCGCGTATTTACACTTTTCAAAAGACTTGACGGATCCGAACGAGACTTTTCGTCTCAGACCCTTCTGATGGTCTAAGGGCTCCGGCCGAGTCAACCCATCAAAGCTTAGAAAACGTGAGTCCATGGCGTGCTGAGAATCGACCAGATCTTTATCAAAAAAACCCTCGAGAGATCCGTGTTTAGATCTCATGAGAGGCAATCTGCTCTCCTCATCGCTGCTATCTCCCGAGCTAGGACAATTGATTAGATGGGCCAGAGCACAAGCAATCAGGCTCGAGAGCTCGTCCTCGTAGTCGGACACGATACTATAATCATCACCCAGAGAGATGTGCAGCCGAGAACCTTCCTCACCGATTATTTGATGCATTGTTGGTAAAATTTCTTGCGCAGAGCTGGTAAAGGTCTCATTTTTCAATAAGTAGACCTCCTCAAGGTCTTTGATTCCTCTTGGTCGGAGATCTTCAAATGGCAGCCAAAACCATTCATCAGAGACAGCAGCCTGGTTATCCCAAGATTCTCTTGTAATTGGAACCGTTCTGTCTGATTCTTGATGGTTCTCCAAGCTACCGTTATCGCCTGTGTGAACCTTGGAATCACAGAATGTATTTATCTGATTGTCATCTTGGATGGAAGTGCCATAAATTGGAATTTCTTTGCCCGCCTCAAGTTCACGGAATGTATCAGAACCATTGGTTTCAGATCTGGCCCTTGCAACAACTGAACCATCCACCTTTACCCTCAATCCTTGTTCAGTTCTCTCACTCTCGGCGGTTGAAGGTAGCTTCCAGTTAGGTAAAACCATTGAACGCAACCGACAGTTCCAAACCAAAGCCTGAAGCAGAAGTTCCCACAGAATGCGGTTCAGGCCAAGCAGTTTGAGGGAAACATCTCCTGAGCTTTTAGTCTTGTCGAAGGCAATTTTAATATTTTCCTTTATAGGCAAGACGTTCCAAAAAAGATGAAACAACACTAGTTAGCTCGCCCAGAGAAAGCAAAACAAATAACAGCTAACACTCATTCCAAGCAAAAATCTAAATCATATTTTATATATCATGCACGAGAAACTTCAAAGAATAGAAACAAGTTCTGAAGAACTTACCTCATATTTGGAACGCTCTTCTCATACCGACCAGTCCAAGGGTTGGACCGATCG